GGCTCATGGCTTCGGATCGGCGCAGCGCTGGCCATGGCAGGTATTTAGGGAGTGAATCAACGGAAGGAAGACCTTTCTCTGTCTCTCTCTCTAAAACTCTGTCAAATAAAAAATCTACATACAATCATATGAACAACAGCATTTTGATTTTTTTTTTTTTAAAGGCACTGGGGGCCAGCGCTGTGGCATAGCAGGTAAAGCCTCCACCTGCAGTGCCAATATCCCATACGAGCACCAGTTCGAGTGCTGGCTGCTCCACTTCCGATACAGCTCTGATATAGCCTGGGAAAGCAGTAGAGGATGTCCCAGGTCCTTAGGCCCCTGCACCTGCGTAAGAGACCTGGAGAAGCTTCTGGCTCCTGGCTTTGGATGGGCCAGCTCCAGCCATTGCAGCCAAATGGGGAGTGACACAGTGGATGAAAGACCTCTCTCTCTCTCTCTGCCTTTTTGTCTCTGCCTCTCCTCTCTGCCTCTCTGTGCATAATTCTGACTTTCAAATAAATAAATCTTTAAAAAAAAAAAAAGGCATCAGATCCTAAAGACTGTAGAAAGAGGAGTTTTGCCAATAAACTATCACAAATGAGTTTATCTATGTGCATAAATCTCTACACACAATAGTGAAAAAACACAGTAAAGGAAAAAGGCAAAATCATTTTCACTAAAGAAAAGTTTTATTTATTTATTTATTTATTTTGACAGGCAGAGTTAGACAGTGAGAGAGAGAGAGAGAGAGAGACAGAGAGAAAGGTCTTCCTTTTTCCATTGGTTCACCCCCCAAGTGGCCGCTATGGCCAGCGTCTTGTGGCCAGCACGTTGCGCTGACCTAAAGCCAGGAGCCAGGTGCTTCTCCTGGTCTCCCATGCGGGTGCAGGGCCCAAGAACCTGGGCCATTCTCCACTGCACTCCCGGGCCACAGCAGAGAGCTGGACTGGAAGAGGAGCAACCAGGACAGAATCCGGCGCCCCGACCGGGACTAGAACCCAGTGTGCCGGTGCCGCAGGCGGAGGATTAGCCTATTGAGCAAAATCTGTGAAAAGAGTGGATATGGTAATACTTCGATTTAATAGTCTAAGAAAAAAATCATGAAACCTGAGTATGGATAAAATGAATGTGAGATTTTTTCAAAAGTTACTATTTAAAAAAGAGAGGGATAGTAGAAAAGAGGCAATAACAGAAGTTTTGCAATTGAGAAGAAAGGGAAGCAAGCCAGAGATGAAAGGCCAAGATAATCTAGGCAATCCAGTTCAAAGCTCTGAGTCAGATCTTTCTCAAACTCGGTGTCCCTACAATACCCTGGCAGAAGGGGGTACTGCGCTCTCATTCCATTGAGAAAGCAAAGACAACATTCTGAGGCTTTAAGAGTAGGTGAAACGAAGACAGAGATTGAAGTGTGCCAGACCTGTAGACCTCTGTCCCTCTACCTAAGTCCTTCTTCTCACTGTTCTAAAATGACGGGAATCTGACACTGCTTACAGGCAACACTATTCAATTCAGCACTTACATTCTGTCAGGAGTCCTACATATAATATATCTCCCCAACTACATCATTACCTTCTGAAAAACACATGCAATCTTTTCTATTTTATTTTAACCCATATAACCTAACACAGATGCTCAAGTTCATTATATTGAAAAATAACAACTTACAATCACAGCATTAGAGTTTGAAGAAACCTTAGAGATAACCCAGGCTAGCCTCTTTATCTTAAAAGCAAAGAAACTAACAATAATTAAATATCTACTAGCTCAATGGCACAGAGCTAAGACTACACCTTAAGTCCCAGAGAATCAGTTTTCCAAATATCATTTAATTCTTCCATTATGACAAAAGGAATAATCACCAATACTAACAATAATTCTAAAACACAGGTACTACTCACCCAATTTTACAAAAGAAGAAAATATAATTTTACCATGATGATACTCAGCGGCAAAACCCAGAATCCTGGTTTATCACCAGAACTCTGACTCATAATCAGTATCCTACATTGCCGCTCTCATTTAATTTACCACAAAAATCACAAAGTCCCAGAGTCCAGCACCTTGCCTGACCCAAGCATCATTAACAAATATTTAAACGACTTACTAAATGAATGGATTATTTAATTCCTTAAAAAGTAAGGTTCTCCTACCCCAAAACCAGAAACGTTCCTTGTTCATCTAATTACAGATTCTTCTAAGATTTAACAATGGCAAGTTTTAAGCAATGGCTAAATTCTTTATTCTGCAAATAATTCATCTGTTCAGCAAACATTTAATAAGAAACCACATTAACTGGAGCACCTATAATGTGCCATTTCTTGAACTTAAATGTTAGTCTCAATTAATCCCTTTTCAGCCAAGTAAACTGGACAACATCTCCATTTTCCAATGAACAATATATGGCTTAAAGAAATTAAACACTTGTCAAAGGACACTTAAGTTACTGAAGATCCAGAACTAGAATCCAAGTGTGTCTGACTCAAAGTCTATTTTCTCCAAAATGGGATTAAATGCACTATTATTTCATTGCTCTCCAAGACAACAAACATGTTTCTTTCCAAGGGAAACCAAAAACACTGCTTATTCTAACAACAAAAATGTATTACCTCATTTAATCCTTCTAATAGCCTATTAGTTATGAATTATATTATTCTTCCATTATTATAAATAGTGAAACTAGAACTCAGACAAGTAGCTTGCCCAAGAACACCCTGCTGGAAAGTAACAGAACTATACCAGGTCCATACCAGGTCCACACCAGGTGCCGGCACAGAAAAACAAAGTAGCAAGAAAGTAATTAAGAGCTTAATATGCAAAACATTTACTAATCAGACTTTGTATTTCACATGTACAAAGGAATGGTACCATATCATTTCCTCCAATGCCAATTTTCGATGATGAGAAAGTTGATTTTCTAGTAATACTACTATTAACTGGCAACCTCAAGACTGGTCTCTAAACTTCAAACCTACTGGCTGTATTAGACCAAGCCATCTCTGGACTTCCTACCAGTTAAAATTATTCTATGCACAGGGCTGTGGTGTGGCAGGTTATGCAGCAGTCTACGGTGCCGGCATCCCTTATGGGTGCTGGTTTGAGTCCCGGCAGCTCCATTTATGATCCAGGTCCCTGATGCTGGCCTGGGAGGGCATCAAAAGATGGCCCAAAAAGCAGAAAATGACCCAAGTCCTTGGGCCCCTGCACCCACGTAGGAGACCCGGAAGAAACTCCTGGTTTCAGATGGGCTCAACTCCAGCAGTTGCTGCCATCTGAGGAGTGAACCAGTGGATGGAAGACTTCTCTCTCTCTCTCTCTCTTCCTCTGCCTCTCTCTAACTCTGCCTTTCAAATAAATAAATCTTAAAAAAAAAAAAAAAAAAAAAAAAAGATGGCCCAAGTCCTTGGGCCCTGCACCCATGTGGGAGACCAGGGGAAAGCTCCAAGCTCCTGGTCAGCCTGGTCTGGCTCGGCCATTACAGACATTTGGGAGTGAACTTGCAGAAGGAAGCTCTATCTCTTCTCTCTAACTCTGACTTTCAGATAAATAAATCTTTTTTAAAAAATTCTTCTTAAAGTAGCAAGCAAGCAACATATTATAAAGCAAGGGCTTATGAAGAACAACATGTTAAAAATACACAGAAAAAAAATATTTAAGTATCTTAAATACATTCACAGGAAAAGACGTAGAGAAATACTCCTTAACATTTTCAAGACATCACCTGAAAACTATTCTATTTCTTGAGATTTTTAGGGCCTAGGGGTAAGCCACAAGAGATGTCTCCAATGCCAGTTCCGAAAATGTTACCACTTTGATTCACAAAGTTTGGTCTCGCTGCACTGTTTATCAGAAGTCCAAAGTGGCCTTTTCCGCTGAAACTGGCCCAGGTGTACAGTCACAAGGAACAGTCTCATCTGTTTTTGACAAACCAAAGTGATGAATGAGGGGTGGCTGCGTATTTACATTAACGTACCGCAGGAGAGAGTGGTTGCTGTTATCCACATTTTACTAAAAAAATACGAGCACCCTCCAAACCAAAAATCCAGAAATAGACAACCATTTGAAGGCACAGTCACCAGGTGGAGGCTTCCATGACTGTTCCCCCTACAACACACACACAGATTCACCCCTCAACCTCATCTAAAACCCCTGAGTTCTTCAGGCAGCTATGTGCCGCCCCATCAACACATCGCTGAGGATCATGAAAAGCCAGGAAGCATGAAGAACCGCTTCCAGGCCTTAACAAGCGCCAGCTCAGACACCAACTAAGAAGTAAACAAGCACAGAATGTGACTGTTGCGGGAGCGGGCCACTGTTCGCTTACACGGGGAAGACCCTCAGCCGTTCCTGTGATGGGAGATGTGTTGCGCCGTCCTCCCCAAGGCCCCAAGAAAAAGCAGTACTTTGACAAGCTAATTGGGAGTGGGTTTATTTCCAAAAGTTTTGACCTCTCTTTTTTTCATCGCTTAAAGACAAATGATCACAGAAGGACACCGGATACAAGGTGCCCGAGGTGCTGCCTATGGCAGCACCTGGAAAACTGTCCAAGAAACCTGTGCCCTCTCCCCCCAGAAGGGAGTTAAATGGAAGGACCAGACCCCGTCATTCATCCCACCACAGGAAAGGAGGAAATCAAAAGCAGACGCGCTTCCTCCTAGCCCCCCGAGAGGGTTGGAGTGAGACTAGGGGCTTGAGCCGCGCTTCCAAGAGGGCATCAGGCCCGCACCACCTCTGCACCCGCAAACTGCGCGACCACAGGGCACAGCCATCGGTATCTCCACCTCTGTCCTCCAGGCACGGCCAGGGACTGCGTCCCAGAGCCCGCCCCGGTCTGGCCCGCCCCGCTATCTCCTCCCCCGCTATCCGCTCGCAGCCGCGCTCGGGCCTGGATTCACCTCCCCGCCCTCCCCAACTTCGGCACGTCCCACTACCCCAACACACGTAGGCCTCGGCCCTCCGCGAGTCTGGGGGAGAAAGGTCGGGGGTCGCAGGGCAAAGGATGCCCTCGCGCGGCTTCTCACCTCTGGATGGAGAAGGGGCACGCAGCCCGCTTCGGTATCGTACTCATCCGGGCCGTCCGCCATCTTGGTGTTAAATCCCTCCTCCCGCTGCATGCCGGGAGAAAGCGTTTCACCCTCGCGGGGCTCGGGCAAGGCGGAGGGCGAGCGCGAGGGCGAGCGCGAGCCCCGCCAGAGGCGACGCCGCCGCCTCCTCCTTCCTCCCCTGCCCCCGTGACGCCCCCTCTACCCCCTCCCCCCGCGGAGGGCGCGGGTCCCTGCGCGCGTGCGCGCTCTGCTGCACTGCGCCGCTGCAGGCGCAGGGCTCTGGGCGTGGGCGCCGCGGCTCAAGGGTGGGTCCCGGCCGGAGGCAGATGTGTGCTGCTGGTCGCTGGGGGAGCCGGCTATGCTGCTGATGAGTTCGGTTGGGAAACCTAGCGGGAGCGCGGGAGCGAGAACAGAGCTGCAGACCGGCGCGGTCCAAGTTGGGGAGCCTCAGGCGACCGACAGCCCCGCTCCCCCGCACGCAGACCCCGGGGTCTCGCTCCAGAGAGAGGGCGTTGGGCTCTCAGGCTTGGATGTCGGTGTGCATCGCTCCTGTAGACGAAAGAACCCCTTTTCCCCATGCTCAAAAAGGTCACCCGCAACCCAGGACTCCAGAGGGCGCCCAGGAAAAAACAGATTAAACTTGGGGCTTCCTCCTAGAAAAGCCTTTTCAAAATGATTGAATCTTGCCGTTGTTGGTCTTGAATTAGATTTAAAAAAAAAAAAATGCGATCTCAGAGCCCACACATGTTTATCTGTTAGATTTTGATATGATTCAGGAATTCAAAATTAAGTCATTTAAACGGAATTCACTTGAAACGCATACTAAAGCCCTTTTTCGAATGTTGTTAGGGCTGAAGAAGTGGAGGGCAGAATGGGTTGTTCTTGGGAATAGGCTGGTGTGGTAGTTTTAGAAAGCACTCTCTTTATTTTTAGCTATTGAAAATTGCCAATCTAAACAGCTCAGAGAACGATGTGGCTATTATAGCTGTTGATACCAACCTGCCTCCTGTTGAAGCCCTATCTACCAAAGATCACCGGGACAAAGGCCGCAGTCCAACATCAGACTGGCTTGTCAATCTGCCCGAGGAGGGCTCTGGGGAAGCCTGGTGTGCCACTGGAGATGGCAGGAGTAAGCCAACTTAAGAAGCGCTTAGATTCCTGCCAGAGGAATCAGGAGAGTCTAGAAAGAGAATGGGGATCAGTTCTGGATTGGACGCATCTGCCAAGACTGAATAAAGAAAAAAAGGGAATTAAGAATGGATTGGATGCTATCATGAGTCCAGGGCAACTCCAGAATTGGATACCCCCAGTAATAAATGAAAATAGCCAAGGACACCTGATGCTCATTGGTAAGACTACCGAAATCAGTCAAAGAGGGGTTGATATGGGATTTTATAGCTGCTGTGTGGTGGTAAGAAAAAAGTTGTTAGCTTTGAGACCTCAACTCGTTATATTTAATCAGAGTCCATGTTAGTAATTGGGTAGATCTTATCTACAGCCCAAACTTGAGACTTTATTCAAGGACAGCCAAGAAAATGCACTGATTGGGTAGATGAGCTAAAGAAAGGTATAGAATTATGGAGGAATGTACAAGAGTGGTTACAAGAATAAATTCAAAGAGAAAAGTAGACCTTTGTCGGGGAAGAATGGTGCAATGGATTTAGAAGCAGATTGTAAGGAATGAGGCATTCATTGTAAAGAACATAGTGTCTCATAGGTAACTTCTGAGACTATTAGAAGTGAAAGCATTAGCAATCATCCAATTCTACCTCCATCGTGTCACAGATGGAGAAGCAACTGGGGAGCCTGAGAAACCCTATAAAAGCCACAGAACTGAGCAGTAGCAGGATCATGTCCTGAAGCCTCCTGAATTTTCACAACCTACTACTTCTGCCCTCTCCCCATAGTTCTTCTATTGTAATTAACCTCAGAGAATTATTATATAATGCATCTGAATTACTGTTTTAAGAACATTTAGCCAGCGCCGTGGCTCAATAGGCTAATCCTCCGCCTTGCAGCGCCGGTACACCAGGTTCTAATCCTGGTCGGGGCACCGGATTCTGTCCGGGTTGCCCCTCTTCCAGGCCAGCTCTCTGCTATGGCCCGGGAGTGCAGTGGAGGATGGCCCAAGTGCTTGGGCCCTGCACCCACATGGGAGACCAGAAGAAGCACCTGGCTCCCGGCTTCGGATCAGCGCGATGTGCCGGCTGCAGCGTGCCGGCCGTGGTGGCCATTGGAGGGTGAACAAACGGCAAAAGGAAGACCTTTCTCTCTGTCTCTCTCTCTCACTGTCCACTCTGCCTGTCAAAAATAAAAAATAAATAAATAAATAAAAGAACATTTAACATGAGAGTTTTTTTTTTTTTTAAGATTTGTTTATTTGGAAGTCAGAGTTACACAGAGAGAAGGAGAGGCAGAGAGAGAGAGAAAAAGAGGTCTTTCATCCTCTGGGTCACTCCCCAGTTGGCTGCAACAGCCAGAGCTGCGCCAATGTAGAGCCAGGAGCCAGGAGCTTCTTGGGCCATCTTCTACTGCTTTCCCAGGCCACAGCAGAGAGCTGGATCAGAAGTGGAGCAGCTGGAACTCAAATCAGTGCCTAGATGGGATGCCAGCACTGTAGGCAGCGGTCCCAAGAGAGTATGTTCTTAAAAATTTTAATGTACAAAAAAGTTTAGCATCACGGAAACCACGCTGTACAGATCTCAAAATCTCATCTTGTGTAACTGAAAATTTATACCTATTGAACAGCAACTCCCTGCTGTCCCCCAGCTTTACTCTAGGAACCACCAATCTGTGGTTTCTATCCACTTGACTATTTTAGATACCTCATGTAAGTGGAATCACACAGTATTCATTCTTCTGGAATTGGATTCTTCCAGGTTCATCCAATGCCAAAAGGACATTTAGATTGTTCCCATACTTTGGATATTTTGAATAATATCACATGAACATGAGAGTATATATTCTCTTCGAGATCTTGATTAGAATTTCAATTCATTTGGCTATAAATCCAAAAGTGGGATTGCCGGACCATATGTAAGTTCCATTTTTAATTTTTATTTATTTATTGTTTATTCATTTGAAAGTCAGAGAAATAGCTCTTCTGTCCGCTAGTTCAGTATCCCATACCTGCAACAGCTGGGGTTGGGTCAGGCCAAAGCAAGCAACCCACATGGGTGAAATGGACACACCTACTTGAGCCATCACTTCCTCTCTTCTAGGGTATGTATTAGCAGAAAGCGGAATTAGTACCAAGCCAGGGCAGTGTCTTAGGCACAGCACCAAACACCTGCCTCAATTTTTATTTACTGAAGAACCATCATACTATTTTTCATAGAAGCTGTACCAATTTCCATTCCCACCAACAGTGTACAAAGGATCCAGTGTCTCCACATCCTTTTCAACACTTGTTAGCTTTTGGGATTTTTTTTTTTTTTCGTAATAGCCATCCTAACAGGTGTGAGGTGATAGAGTTTTGATTTGCGGTTCCCTGAAGATGTTGGACATCTTCATTTACCTCTTGGCCATTTCTATATCTCCTTTGCAAAACTTTTTTTTTTTTTTTGAAAGGCAGAGTTATGGAGAGGCAGAGGCACAGAGAGACTCTTCCATCCACTGGTTCACTCCCCAAACAGCCGTAACAGCCAGAACTGGGCCAATCTGAAGCCGAGAGCCGGGAACTTCCAGGTCCCACATACAGGTGCAGGGGCCCAAGGACTTGGGCCATCTTCTACTGCTTTCCCAGGTCATGGCAGAGAGCTGGATTGGAAGTGGAGCAGCTGGAACTCGAACCGGCACCCATATGGGATTCTGGCACTGCAGGTTACTGGCTAAACCACAGCACAGGCCCCTCCTTTGCAGAACTTTCTACTCAAGTCCTTTTCCATTTTTAGTCAGTTTATCTGGGATTTTTTTACAATTTATTTGGAGGAGTTCACTGTATATTTTGGATATTAATCCCTCATCAGATACTTAATTTCTTTTTTTAAAGATTTATTTATTTATTTGAAAGTCAGAGTTACACACAGAGAGAGAAGGAGAAGCAGAGAGAGAGGTATTCCATCCACTGGTTTACTCCCCAGTTGACTGCAATGGCCGGAGCTGAGCTGATCCGAAGCCAGGAGCCAGGAGCCAGGAGCTTCCTCCGGGTCTCCCATGCAGGCACAGGGACCCAAGGACTTGGGCCATCTTCTACTGCTTTTTGAGGCCACAGCAGAGAGCCGGATAGGAAGTGCAGCAGCCGGGTCTCGAACCGGCGCCCATAAAGGTGGTGGCTTTACCCACTATGCCATAGCGCCAGCCCCAGATATTTGATTTTCAGACCCTTTCTCTCATTCTGTTTGTTCCTTTTCACTGTTGATTGTTTCCTTTACTATGCAGAAGCTTTTCAGTTTACTGTAATACCACTTGGTTAATTGTGCTTTTGTCACATGCTGTTTATTGTTGCCAAGCCCAATGCCATGGAAGCATTTTGCCTATGTTTTCTTTTTTTTTTTTAAGATTTATTTATTTTATTTGAAAGGCAGAGTTCAGAGAGGTAGAGGCAGAGAGAGAGAGGTCTTCCATCTGCTGGTTCACTCCCCAGATGGCTGCAATGGGGCTCCCCAAGGGGTACAGGAGCCCAAGGACTTGGGCCATCTTCCACTGCCTTCCCAGGCCATAGCAGAGAGCTGGATAGGTAACAGAGCAGCCAGGACTCAAACCAGTGCCTATATGGCATGCCAGCACTGCAGGCAGCAGCTTTACCCACTACACCACAGTACCGGCCGCTCACCTATGTTTTCTTCTATGAGTTTTAGAGTTCTAGGTCTTACACTCAGTCTTTAGTCCTTTGAATTGGTTTTGTGTATTGGGCCAGACAGGGACCCAATTTCATCAGTTTTGCATTGGATACCCACTTTCCTGGCACCATTTGTTGAAGAGACTGTAAGTTTTCCATTGTATATATATATATACACAATGGAAAACTTACAGTCTCTTCAATATATATATATATATTATATATATATATCTTCAATATATATATATTCACGACCCCTTTTTAAAGATCAGTTGATTTACGCGTGTTTGAACTTATTTCTAGGCTCTGTGTCCTGTTCTTTTGGTCTCTGTGTTTGCTTTTATATGAGTGCTATAATGTTATAACTATGACTTTGTACACTCATGTGTCATTTAATGGCAGG